CTGCAACAACAGGCAGAAATAGGGACTCCTGGGACATCGGATGGGAAGCCTTTGTGAAGTCTGTAGATTCAGGATAGATAGATTTTTTTTACTCTTTTTTTTTTCTTTATATTTTTACTTATATGTTTATACGGTTTTAGAAATTGTTCTCTATTGTTTTAATTGTCTATATTGTTCCTATATTGTTATTTTTGCTGATCCTATGGATCCTATTCTACTGTCTTTTTTATTATTGCTGCTGTTTCTAAGGAATTTCCCCATTGTGGGATTAATAAAGTCAATCTAATCTAATCTAATACTAGAGTTATTAGGTGCTAATATCAAGTTTAATGCTTTCTGCTAATGTGCAATTTCAGGACAGAAACCTTTATTATAATGTGCAGTGGTGCAAATCAAACATGCTCCACTGAACATTAGTTGTCATTTTTAAATTAATGTGCATGTTTAATTTTAAATACTTCTCAATGCATGCACCCATTGTAATGTTCAGTGAAATATCATCATGATACATTTGAATCATCCACTGTAAAAATGAGATTCATGGGAAACTAAATCACTGAATTATCCAGTTCTTACACTGTAACAAAACTGTTTCAACTTTATAAAGTTAGTATTCAGGCTGCCTTTAAATTTTAAGTGAAATGAATCTGAGAAGTTGTTTACACCAAACATAATTAAAACCTTACTAAAAAGTTTCAAAGTTAACTTGCATTCACACTTCTTAGTAGTGAAACTTCATGGTACAGGGTTACATTAAGTAAAGAAATTTGGCCAATTGCAGGTTAAAATGAATTTAAAACTTTAAATATCTCTGAGCAATTGGACATCTTCATAAAGGTAGTTGTATCAAAACATTTTAGATTCATTTGGGTATTTTTTTTTCAAATAACGTGCTACAATAAAACTACAACTACAGAAAAATGTGAACTTGACCCTCAAGAGCAGTTTTGTACAACATGACAGTGTCCAATGACCACTGTTGGGGGGTAGTGTGTTACAGTGTAACGTGATTCTGTAATCTAATTTCATTGTAGCAAAGTAGTGTAACAGTGTGATATTTAAATTTTTTAAAACACATTACAGTTACTACTTCGTAATTATGTTCCATACATTATATATCACGTACATTTCAAAATTATACATTTATTGTCATGAGACAAGGGATGAAGGACTCAGGAGCAGGAATGGTGGTGAAACAAACGGGGTTTCATTAAACTGGAAAACAAAGGCTAGAAACACAGGGGATTGAAACGGGAGGACAGGAGCATGGGAAGGCACAAGCAACACAAGGGTTAAAGTATCCAATGAGACAGTGTGCTACAATGTAAAAAATGTCTGCTGAATATCTGCGTTTTACATAAATTATATATTTATTATTTGTTACACTGTTACGCTCTCCCAAGAATGTGGATTTTCAGAAATGTTCAAAAACTGAACTTCAAATCAAAGGTTAAGAATTTTATTATATTTTGCATTTCGCCCTTTTGGAAAAGTGGTCAATTAATACTAAAGTACAGAAAAGACAAGATGTTAAATCGGCATTTTCCATTTTGTGGACTCATGGGGGTTTTAGAAAGTATAGTTTAAAAGAACAATAATTAGTAATATTTTTTTTTCCAGAAAGTACTCAGTAAAGTAATTTGATGACAAATTGAGAGAGTAGTAATCTGTAGTGGATTACCTCCCCCCCACTGCCAATGACCATGGCAATTTTCACAAAAATCCAGGCTCAGAAAGTCTTTTGCCCAAAAGTTTCACAAAGAAACATTTTCTGATTCAAGAACTGTGGCAGAAAATATATACTGGAAGTGACGAACAAAGTGCTAACAGCAGCCAAACGTCTAGGTAGGCTACCACTTGTGGGAATATAACTGACGATACAAAACAGTTGAAGAATTAACGTATGCCTACATTTTTCAGTAAAGTTGAAAGGCGTCACGGTAGCCGGCGGGCGCGCGGTGAAGCAGGAGAGCCCAGCCGGTGAGACGGGCAAACGGGGTTTATTAACGCACACTGGGAACAACACCATAACAATACAATGACGGATCTGGGTAGACAGACTGAGACAAGGACTAAATACAAAAGACAAGCTACTGGTAACGAGCAACAGGTGAGAACAATCAGGGAATCACACGAGGTAATGAGGTGGGCGTGGCCAGGGGTGGATTAAGGTGTACGGAGGCCCCTAGGCTACAGTAGTCTGTGGGCCCCCCAACCCAGCCCCGCTCCGCGCCAATGGGGGCCCCCTTGCAGGCTGGCACACGTGGGGCCCC